CATAGATGTTCGCTTATAAGCCTATTTATAAGCCGACGGACAACCGATCGGGAAAATCGAGCTTACCGGGAAGCGTTGTTGACGCAGAGTGACTATGATGAACACCGGTGAAAATTTGCAACGTACCGAATGACTACAAGCGAATCATGATTGATTCGTTCACGTATTCGTGCTAGGTGTATTTTAAGTAAACGTTGCTAGTTTCAAGCTATCAACTAATCTAAATAGGTTAAAATGTTGACGTCACCGCACTGTTGTTCAATATGTGTTAACGAACTGGATAAGAGACACCTTGGGTTTACCTGTTGACCCAGTGAAACGATTACGTTAGACAATGGATATCCTTAAGTGCTCACTATGAATACATGTACAATTTTCACTACGGTAAATTCTGATCCCAGAGCGGTGTTTTTACGGTTTTCGGTGGATTGGGTCACAAAACACAATTAGCCTACGAACCGCACTTTAAAATTTCTTTCAAAGTTTCCATAACAAACAGAGCTGTTAGTTTGTTGGATAGGCATAGTTACGCCTATCAAGACTTAATCTTCAGAAAAGAGCAGATGACTGCAATAAAGTGGCTGGACTTTTGAAAAAAGGCAGATGGTGTGAGCTGAAATAAACTCATCGCCACCACTTTTGATTCGCACCTTCCGCCGGTGTACCAGTCTTACCACCATCAGTGATGTTTGTTATAGTCTGAACATAAAGTAAAACCTCAATCCACCTGTGTGTGCAGTTTGTCTGCTGATCAAGTTTTCGCTGGTCTCACGCAAAGCTTTCACCGAATCCTTCATCTTTGCCATCATCATCATCCTCATTTACAGCGACAACCCAGCGGTTATGTGGTACTTGCAACTCTGTGTAAAATACCTTCACGATGTTGAGGGTTTAGACTGGAAGCTCGCTGAACGTTTTCTCATCTTTTACGAGGAAACTCTTTATCTGGCCATTCCCTGCTTACTACAAGCACAACTATTCACAAATAATTGGTGTACCTTAAAGACGAAAAACGAACAGGGCCACATTAACCTCCACCAGTTATTTTCAAAAAGTGTCCTGAGCCTGGTGCTATTAGATTAACAGAATGATTCACACAGCAAAAAGGTGTTGCCTGTTGACAAGCCGTTAGCACTCATCGAGTGTCAAAGAGGGGCTTATTCGGATTCCGTCGGAACGCGTACAAATCCAATGGCCTTACACGTTTTCAAGAATGATAACCCTGACCGCTTAATGTTACAGAATAACTACATGAATCTATGTCAGTTTGCATACTATCGATCATAGTACATTACCATACCGGTGTATTATACTTCTGCGCAAGGTGGCCTGTTTCGGTTTCTTGATTACTGCATATCTAATGATATACTTCTAATTATTCTGAATGAACATGACATTCGACCGCCCCGCGTAGTATTGTTAAGGATTATTTTGCGAATTTTTTCCAGCTTACGTGCTTGAATGATCAGTTCAATCGTCTCGAATTCAGTTGATTCGCGGGGCGCAATTCTTTACCAAGGTTTCTGTTTAGATATATGAGCGCTATGTCGATTTCAAGGACTCGCCTCTTGCAGGGCATGCACATTGAGGTTGTCCTCGATGTTTAACGTTTGGAGATGTCTTTCTTATCGGCCATGGAGACTAGTCTCACTGAATTAGTTAGTTGGTCTAATGTACGCTGTTCATGACTGGCTACATCGGAGAGTGTTGATAGTCTTTTTTGACAAACTGAAGGAAATGTATTACCAACAGATGTCTATCATTTGTGCCGAACTACAAATTGGCAACAAAGTTTATAATAGGCCTAAATCTGTTAACTATTTAAGTATTATTTTAGTCTCTTCATGTTAACAATGTTTTCAATGAAGTGAGAAAAAAGTTATTGTTTAACTTGCCTTGCTTTTCACCTCATTCTCCGCCCTGTGTATACAAACACCCTTCTTCATTTGTTGTACTTTTCTCCAGAAATCTTTCGTGAACTTCTGACGGGAGAAGTTAAATTTAATCCCATGTTTAATTAAATACAACAATGCTCGTTCCATAATCATTAAATTCATTGTGTCTGAACGCCATAAGTATACGCATCCTTTCCTTCAAAGGTTCGTCCAATTCTGACCAACCCCTTTACTCCAATCCTTCTAACTGAATGTCTGCATCACTACCTCGGTCCTGCTGCGAATGTTTGTACACACTTACACTTCCGTACAGTTATTATGCACTACTTCATTTACCATGGTTTTTTCATCAATCTCAACATACTTGTAAAAGAATTGGCTGTAAAGCCGAGCTAATAACATCTTTCAATACTGTGACTACCGAGGATGTAATTTTTTAAACGCTGGATAGCCATCGCCAGAGGTGTATGAAGTACTGTTGTGGTCTGACTTGATACTGATGTTCATTGATTGCATGCAACATTGAAACAGGAACCAAATTTGATGTGTGTATTCGG